TACAAATTCAAAAAAATTTGAAAATCAAAATAATCATTCAAAGATAATTCCATTAATTTTATAGGCCATTAAAAACCAATTGATTTGCCATAATTAAGTAACACTTCTAATATATTTAATAGATGAAATTGGAAAAACCTTCGACTATATAACAGTTTCATTTATTTTTTATCCGTCGTAAATATTGGCCAGTTTTATTTGAATCAGCCGTAGAATAAGTTGAATACGAGTCGCCTATTGGTTCCCCAAACTATAATCTCCACACATATGCAAATGTTCCACCCACTTAAATTACTGGTAAACATCAGAGATAAATTGTTTTATGTTTGTTTACAACAAACAGAGCATCAAACACTTTTTAAAAACGATCAAACATTTTTTAAAACGATTAGTGAGCAAAAAGATAACGAAATTTAAAAAAGATATTTTTTTCATAAAAATAAGTTTCAAGTCGAAAATTAGTCCGTTATTTACAGTTATACCTATTTGCTAAAAATAATTCACTTAAACAGTAAATTATTATACTTATTATTCAAAAGAAATAACACATTCGCAATGTTATAGTTCACTCTTAGAAATTAAGTAAGTATGCAGAGACACACTTTTAGAATAATAGTAAAATTTCATAAATCCAGCACGTTTTCCATGGATTTTAAAGCTTAAGACGTTAGAAGTTATAAAAGAAAAATTTGGTGAAGAAGACGAAAAATTGCATAGTTAAGCGCAGAATTATAAAACTTTGAACAAAATAAGCTTAAGGGGATGAATGTCGATGATAATACTGCATTGTTGTAAGCAAGAATAAATTTAACGAGCACGATAATTATATGAATCTTTCGTATGTCTTCTATTTTGTCAAAACAAGAAGTTCATAATTAGTGTCATCATTATTCTGTTAAAAGAAAAACCTGTCACATTCAAAAAGCGCTCTTAGTTTAATGATGAATCTAATATAAAATAAAAACAAAACTGTACTTCCTAAAAACATAAAACCTATGTTCAAACGACGTTCACATTAAATATAAATGAAAATGGTAAAGTTTGAGCCCACACAGCACATATTCTACAACTCACATCTTCCATCTTGCGATTATACGAACACAAAAAGAAATGGACCATTTCGAGATCCGTTGTGAGTGGTGAAGTGTCATTTTTCATGTTATTTCAGCAACCCTTCACGTATTTTATCTCCAAGTTAGTTAATTTGTTAACGTTTCTTCAAATTTGATATTCCGTTTATCTACGAGGAGGGAAACATACATCGGCTTAATTTAAGAAAAACACTTGTACTAGCTGTCGGTTGATTTAAACAATATTATCATTTCTACCTGCAACAATGAAACTTTCAAGTTGAATACACATCTGCAGATCTTCCGGTCCAGTTATTCAACGAAATCATCAGTTGCATCAATACGACACGATGTAAGTCGTATCGTACTTTTACGCCAAGTCTGAATTTACATTTTTCTAAAATAATATTTACATACGAACGACCATCTGTTGAACTCACTTTTAAATAAACCGAAGAGATCGTTTTGGAAGCTGAAACTGAAATCAGTAAATCAAGCTTCGCATCCCTCACTTAGATTGTGTTTGTTTGCCCTCAATATGCACCACACTCCTTGCTGCTATTTTTAAGCTCGCCCGGAATGAATAAGCTCCGGTTGAAGCTCATTAATAATCTTTAGTTATTACATTCATAAATTAACTGTTTCTCGTCGTGACTAACACAACAATACATGTCAAAATATTCTTATTAACTAATTAAATTTTAATTAAACTGTATTATAGTTGGTAAAGTACTGGAATCAAAATTAATTTTGGCTAGAATATAAAGGAGAGGTACCAACGTTGTTCCTAATATCGTTATAATTAACATCTCGATCTTCACGTTGGTGGTAATTTTAGTTTAACTTATCGGATTAACTCGACGTGGATGGCCCGCATCATCTAAGCCTAGAGAAGCTTTTTGCCGTAATGTAATTACGATGTGTGTATTTTGTGTATGTCTGTATAAGCATCTGCGATAAAAACACTTTTTCCTTTTATAAAAGTTTTTTTACCATATGTAACGGTGTATAATTAAATTTCAAACCGGAAATAGATTATACTTGATGGATACACTTTTATCACTTTTACATTAAAAACAAGAAAGTTATTCCTTACGCTTGATCCAATAATTAATATTTCATGTTTATTATCTCATTGAATATGCTACTGTTTATTTTAAAAAAAGTTTCTTCAAACACAAGCCTATGACTGAAGTTGTGTAATGGTTAAATATAAAAGTTTAAATCAACATATGAACAACCGCAAAACTCTCATTTCAAAGTTCAGTTTCTCATTTTCAATAATATTTATTGAATTTTATTTTTGCATCTAACAGAAAAATATTCATCCTGACAGAAAGTATAGATTGTTATTACCTGCAATATTACACGAATATTCTGAAAAATTGGCACGCACTAAATCGTAAGGTAGCATGAAACGAAATATAATAAATAGAGAATATCTGTTGTCTATTCCACACGCCTGAAAAATGTAAAATTTCGACAGTTATGTTGAGTTTATTAAAAAAAAAAACAGAAATAAATATTTCTTGAAAAATCCTGACCTGATCTGATATGCAAAAAAAAGATAATCGTGATCCCAATATTTTTTTTTGCATAGTGATTATGAAAGTTGAATTTTCTTCACGACTAATCGTATAAAAAGTTATACTTTTTTAAACAATCTCTATAGTTATTTTTATAGTTTCTATAAAGTTCGTTACGAAGAGCTCGCGATACATTACGATTTGATTTATCAAATTGATATCTTTTTGGTCTCGGGCAGAGCCCTCGTTAATAAAGTGCAAATTCGTGAAAAAAAGTATGACTTTCAAAACTAGTTGTACAAATAGCTATAAAAAATAAACAACAAAACTCAAAAATTTGATATCAACTTTATCAATGTAAAAAATATTCATATACATACATATCTTCCCAATACAAGTAATATTATAACTAGAAACTTCTTGTTCTCGTCAATTATTACTACATTATTCCGTCCGTAGATTATACAGTAGAATAATTTTACTAATTAAAATTACTCACCGGAATAATTTCAGCTCTTGCTTATGTATTAAATAATTTCCCCACTTCAAATGCACCTTGCACTGTTTTCATTCTTTTCTTAACATTAACAACAGTAATACATCCAAAGTATAAAAAGTATGAAAACCAGCAATTTTTTAAAATCGTTTGCCTTCAGAAAATAATATTGATTAATAAGTGGAAGTTCAATTGTGAACGAACATTCTATTGAAAGTTATTAATCTGACATTTGACACCTCGGCGGGTGTATTAAAAACTATGGTCCGTTCACAACACACTCATATCACCGCCAACTATGACGCCAATTTTAAATAAACACGTTAAGATTACGAATTTTTTCTTTCAAATTGTCAAGTTACGCATAATATTTTTCTAAATTAGTATTCAATTGCTTCTATAGCAATTTTTCTTACTTCTGGGGGAGCGCACTACTCCATTTCAACAATTTTAATATCAGATTCACACACTATTTCAATATTTTTTTGACATTTCTAAAATATCTAAAAATCAAACGCAATTTTGATGGCCTACCATTGATTGTGAATAAAATAGTATACAAACCTTATACATAAGCACTCGGGAGAATGCCATATTTACCACCTCGTTTGTAATGTACTATTTCTTGTCAAAATTAAAATTTATATCTCGATAAGATCTGCATGTATTTTAGACCAAAAATTCATTTTCACTTTTACGTTGGTATTTCAGATTTTATTGTTTTTCATGGCACACTAGCATCCAAGAAATTTCATGTGTATTTTTCAGACAAACAGAATTATTTCCCAAACTACAAGGTGCGCCAGAACTCGCGCCTCAGAGAAAATTTTCAAGTAAGGTAACATACCAGGAACAAAAAATTCTATCTGTCAAAAAATTTTGACATTTAATTTTTGACATTTGACATTTTTTTATATTTATTTAATGATACTGATGATCTTGTATATGTTTTTTTATAATTACTTAGTAAAGGGACAAAAATTTTGCCAATAAAAGCCACAAATAACATTGAACGGAGTTACAATTTAGGATACAGCTTCCTTGTTTCCTCTTTTAATAGCTTATAGCAAAAAAAAATGGAAAAGTGCAAACTTCGAAATTTTTATAGATAAACTTTTTTCAACATTTTTTCCATGTTCATGGTATCTTACCTCATATGGCATTTTTCTCTACGGTGCGAGTTCTGGTGCACCCTGTATTAACTTTTGGGAAAAAAGTTAAAAGGTAAAAAAGATGTAAAATTATCTTCATTTGGTTCTAAATTTTCTGTTTAATATACACAACTTTAAGCTTAATTACCTACATCAACAAAAGAAAACGTATGTATGTATAAATAATCGTTTAAAATTAAAAAAAAAAAACATAACAATTGCGCATTTCTTAATATCAATAATTACACTGATATAGTATGAATATAATGATAATGGTGGAGTATGTCAGAGCGATCTCTCAATCAACGCTCGAGTGCTAATTATCTGTACTTATAGCGTTCACATGTGTGAAAATGACATTGTTTGTTCATCAATTTACACCCATTGTACACCATTTTAGAAAACATTTACGCCTGTTACACTTCTGAATTGTTTGTAGAACGTCCGACAGTTGTTGATTCTTGTACTCGTTTTGAACCAGAGAGAAAATCCGGAGGAAAAGCAAGTAATTATGCAGCCCTTCTGCTGGTTTTATTAGGTCAACTGGAAACTAAATCTCGATTGAAACAAGAAACTTCCACTGTTAATATTGACTTTTGCCACTAAAGTTTTTAATCGATCGAACCAAAAGAAAATTGGTAATTCTGTTATGTGTTTGAACAGTAAATTATAACGTTCCTGTACTACAAACAATAATATTATTCCCTGTGGCGTTTGAGAAACAAGCATGAATACACACTATTGTCAAATACCTACTACTGACCCAGGAGGAGCTGCTATAAATACCTACCACCGAAAGCGTTGGAGAAACTAACTAGTTAAATTATAGAGAAATATGTGCAGGAATTTACAGTGATTGTGCAGCAGTGTGGCGGTTTAACAACATTAGAACGTGCAATTGTCAAGCCATTTGGCCAAGCAGCTCATAACAAACTCGAAAATTAAAGGCAAAACACGAAGATTAGGTAAAAAACAAGTTAAAAAAGAAATGTTGGCAATACAAAGGTAAAGTTTGTTAATTACAATAAAAGTCCAATTTTCTATAATGTCCTCCAAAACATATTGTGGCAGTTCTTTACTCTTAACAGGATTAAAACCAAATCTTCCCTGCGGCGAATCGAGACTCTGGAATAACAATGTCGAGGGTCATCGTAAATTACCGAAAATAAGTAATTCATCTTTGTCTGTCCACTGTGCATCTTAATTACAGTCTGGACTAATTTTCCGTAATATACCGAACAAAGAGACCATTTGTTGTTATGTCATGGTGATGCCGCAATGCTCCTACCAAAGATACATCAAGCCAAATTTTCGTTCTCACTAATGAACAACTAAAGTCATAGTTTCTGTTACATTCAATGCAAATGTGATTAATCGAAACCTGAGAAATTATTCGCTAAATTTTAATTTAATAGAACAAAGCGTCGTAATTATAATAACTAATTAGTCGAGGCTTTTATTGAAAAACAACGGCAAATCGCTGATTAAATTTAATTAATTTGTTAAGCAGAGTATTCTAGTTTTCTCACTGACAAAAGCGACGCCTGAAATTATGTTAATGGGGGAAGATTGCTTACCTTCAGCCATTTCCGGGGACGTTAGAGTGCATCCGCCTCTGAAAATCAAACAAAAATTGTTCGTTAAAATCTATGAAAGAAAACACTGTATAAACCTCAATATTAAAAACTGTGATATAACTAATTTTTCTTTATCATTCATAATTAAAAATTTGTGTTTTTGTTGTATAATTTTTTTCACTACATAGATCAGGCATTCGCCTGATTGGCTGCTACACGTTAAGCCTGATTGGTTTCGACACAATCCCATCTCGATTTGACGTCACAATCGAATGCATCTGCTTTTGATCTTAAACTTGCTTTTCAGTTGTCTGCAGGTTGGTTGTAACCAAGAAAATCTCGCATATTTTATTAAAAAGAGTTTTTCGTTTTCCTCCTGGCTATTCGTTTCTCGAAATTGAAAACAAATTACTTTACGGATTACCCGATGAATCCCCTCGTTTTAATAATAAGAGATGACTCCTCCATCTACCTATCTTAAGGACTCTCCTAGCAAAATCAATCCCCTTTATCCTCATAAACTAGTTACCCTTTCAGTAATTAAATACTTAATATAATATGTGAGACACGTCGTCCGAATGTAGGGTGTGTCATTACCATTCAACGTCAGAAACGTGTTCAAAGATGTTCACAAATCCTCTCTAACTAATGTCAGTGTTCCCTGAAGACCGCTCAGATCGGCATGCGACACGAATATATTTTCCACTCCACTTGCTCCTATCCGTTGGAGTAAATTGATATTATGTTCTAAACAGTCTTATGCCGTTTAGATAAAACCAGCAGTATCCTGAATTATTGGCGCTAACAATTATTTAGTGCCAACGACTGAAAGAAAATAAAGCGATTGAATGAGCAAAAGAAGCACTTGTTGTCTCAATTCGACAAGATAAAATGTATGTACAGGGTGCTGCATTTTGGATGTCCGAATAGAGAATCTCCGAAACTAAGAGGTTTAGCCAAAAACGAGTGATACATTCTGGGGGCTCATTTTTTGAGAAAATAATATTGGTTAAAACCGCATCCCGCGCTATCGTCTTTTGTTTTCGACTTACAGACAAAAGTTGACATTTTGGCGAAATCTAAAAAAAATTATATCTTCGTTATTATAGAAGTTACGGATTTGAAATAAAGACATTATACAGGCACTTTTTTACGAGGAATTTAATAATGTAGTTAACAATTTTTTTCAGTTATTAGTTTAGACGTAATAAGATAAACTTGTATTTTTTTAAATGGAAATCATAGGCGGCTATGGCAATTTTGAAAAGCTTTCTCAATTAAAAAATATATATTTGTAACAAAATATTTTTTTTATAAATATACTTAAAAAGTGAAATACATATTTTGTGGGATAATAGTTGGCCATGGAAAAACTATTTCACTCCAAATGTGTAAATAATAATCAATATGAGTTTTGTGAACTGTAAAATAGATGAAAAAATAGATAAAATTATAAAGATTTAAAAAATACGATACGGTAGAAGCATTGAACACATATGCGAGCGCTTCAGAACAAAATTATTACATATTTTTAAAAAATCCAAAAATAGGAAACACAAATGTGTCAACAGTCAACACAATTACAAAAAACATTTTTTTGATGATCTAATGGAGGTAGGAAAACGTTTCACATAGACGGAATTTGGGTATTTGAATAGCCATATCGTCATTTTTGTGTCATATTAAATATATTTTATTGTAGAATTAAAGCGGCTTTTTTTTACAACACTCTATATATCACTAGAAGTTGCAATGGTAATGTTAGCTTGTTTAAAAACAAAGAAATGTTATTAGTCGCCAATAAGTTGATTTACAATTTATTTTGCATCTTTTTCATTACTTAGTACTTAGAAAACTCTTTCATTAGTGACACTGGTTGAATATAATATAGTTTAAATCCTTTTGGTTGAAAATGCAACATTTTTTCATGGCCAACTGCGAACAAAAATCAAAGATAATTTTTTGCTAAAAATGTATTATATAATAATTTGTTACAAATATATATTTTTTAGATAAGAAAAAAACAAGCTTTTTAAAAATGACATAGCCATCTATGATTCCCATTTAAAAAATACAAGTTTATTTTATTACGGCTAAAAAAACAACTGAAAAAAATTGTTAACTACATTATTAAATTCGTAAAAAAGTGCCTGTATAATGTCTTTATTTCAAATCGGTGTCTTCTATAATAACGAAGATATGAATTTTTTTTTAAATTTCGCTAAAATGTCAATTTTTGTCTATAAGTCGAAAACAAAAGACGATAGCAAGATGCGATTTTCACCAACATTATTTTCTCAAAAAATGAGCCCCCAGAATGTATCACTTGTTTTTGGCTAAACCTTTTAGTTTCGGAGATTCCCTATTCGGACATGCAAAATGCAGCACCCTGTACATAAAAAACGAGTTAATCATGCATTTACAACTGAAAAACAATAGCAAAGCCTAATAAAGATAAACTCTATTAAAAATATAAAACAAGTGCATACCGTCCTTGCTCGAAAACTCTKAACTGCCAAACATGATAAAAATCCTCTGGTATTTTTGATAAAACCATGATGGAAATCAATTAAGGCGCGCCTAACATTGCGTACTCAATTATTCCTAGCATGGCATTTACAATATTGAAGCACAAATGCTTCCATATTCTACGCCCTCTCGATATTAGTTAGATATTAGAATTCGAGTCGACGAAAAGTTTGTTTTTTTTTTTAATCAATTCAAGTTTGAAATCATAATTCTTTGAGTTATTGATAAAATGTCGTCAGTACATTAGTAACCCCTATTATAAAGGACGAAATTTATAACAACCTGGAATCTATTTATAGAAGAAAGAGCTTCATTGTCAGTTTCTTTCAGCGACGAGTTTCCGAAGGCACTTTGCTGCTTTTACAGCGAAATAAACGCTTTTAATCGAAAGAGAATTAAAACTTTTTTTGAAAAATTTTATCGACAGCTTTAAAACGAAATAAATTCTCAATGTGATAATCCTTTAAAAACACGTACACTGAAAATCAACCTCAAAGCTTATTCTTTCCATAGCACTGTCTATTTTCTATCAAAATTGTGACTAACGTTCTATTAGTTGAGTAAATATAGAAGAATGAACGACTATTTGGATCTTAAATCGTCTCTAAGAGCAAATCAAACAACGAAATAAATTTCAATCGTATTTGTGTGTTTTCCTACTACGATTGCTGTAAGAAAATCGATTCAATAAAGAATAATATTTCCGACACCTACTATGTATTAAAAAAATAGTAAAAAAGTTCTAAAATGCAATTGCGTTTTTACTTATGTCAATAAAATGCAATCACTACAACAAACATTCCTGCCATTTCCAAGCAATGTTTAACTTTTCCGACTTTCCATCGTAAAACGACACTCGTTTGATTTTTATCACCTGAAACATTGTTGTAATTTTACGACAATTCCAAAACTCCAATTACTTTCATAAAATTTCCAAAAATAAAAACCACTTATTAAGATCAAAGAAAGCTTTAGTCGCACATAATCGACTGAGACATACATTACTCGAATTCAGGAGCTTTTAATAAAATAAACTGAATGTTTTTCAGCCGTAAAACGACCAAATTTAGACTTTGTCTAGTGTTGTTTGTATTGTAAACATTGTTCCAACTGAGTGTGTCCGAAAATAATGCACCTATTTTAAATATTCCATCCAAATATTTCTTGGTGAGTTTAATATTCACAAGTCTGGAAAAACGTACATCATTATAATGGTACAGACGAAAGCAGAAATGGCTTAATAAATCTCAGAGATAACTCAAAGTCCTCGACCATAGAACGACAACATTACTCGATTTTTTTCTCCCCAAAGAATAATTAATCAAAGTGACAATGCAAACTTGCACCCGATAATAATACAAATTAGATTTCTTCTCTTATAGGCGTCGATTGCGATAGACTTCAGTATACACGAAAGCAAGAACATTATTATCTTTCTGTTTTAATTGGGTATGGTAAGAGGATTATGTTTCTCATAAGCCAAATCACAACACCTTCATCCTGTTGTACGCGATCTCGTCGTACCTTCGCTGTTATTACTCCCTCTAGAGTCATCCAGATGGAATTCGAAACGGACCACTTCTGAATCCCTAAACTCTACGATGTCGTTTTATTAGACTGTCCCCTTTTACTAATCCCTACAATACAAATGGCGAAAATGGCAATTAAAATAGTTTATTGGTAAAAATAAACTAAATGGCAAAAAATGTTTGCTAAAAGAAAAAAATTATAATCGCCTCCAACATTTCCTAAAATATGACAATTTTATTAAAAAAGACTTTTATAAAAACAGGATGAATAAACTTTTAAACATAGTGAAATACACCAAGTTACAACTCGCGTAACAGATGAACCAATCAAAAGCGAACGTGATATGTTTATCAAGAAAGCATTCGCATACGTTTATCTCAGTAAAACTTGTCAAATTGTCTAAATAAGAGTTGCCAAACCGATTATTTTGTCCCAAAAATCGCACACCCATCAAGAAATGAACACACTTCACTTTGTTTACTTGTTTACAACGCATTACCTCGAATGTTAAACAAATCATCAAATGGATCCTCCATTCTCGTCCTGTCCAACACGTTTCATACAAAATACAGACAATAAATAATAAGTAATAAATAATAAATATTTAATTAAATGCAGAAGAAATGATGTATTAAATTTCTAATAATCAGCGGTTAAGACGAGTGTTAAATTTTTTTAACAATCGATAGGTACTGTTAAAAACGGATAAAAAAAACACTTAAATTTAAACACTTTTATTGATAAATTACAAAATTAATCGGACTGACAGCGGTAATCGTCATTCACATACATACAGGGTGAATATAAAGTCTGGAACCAAGCGGTTTTATTTTTAATCATTTGCCTCCAGAAAATAATAATTAATATAAATTAAAGTAATATAAAAAATGTGATGGTATTTTCAGAACGAAATTTTGTTTTGTTTTTGCGTTATGCGATTTTTTTTGTCAAAATTGCAATTTATGTGAAAAATTTTTTT